AGCTATAGTTTTGCCCAAAGGGCTCCTTTCCCACTCACGATTCTGAATTTATCCTTACACCGTTCGTTCTTTCTGTAGCAACTATGATTTAAGTAATTGATCTGACACTGACTGATCACTGATGAATCTCAAAAGATTAAAAGCAGTGCTTAAATAAGTTTAATGGAATTTAATCAACGTCATAGTAGAATTCTAACCTCTCGAAGAAAGTGTCTATCTTCAATACAACAGTCAGGATAATCATTTTGATGCTTTCTTCCAACTAACTTAAAAAATAACAACTGAATCCGTGAAGGATTTTTGCTCCACATTATTGCCTGTTTCCAACCGTCGTGCCCATACGACAGTGAAGATAAGATGCAAGCTGTAGAATCAATAACTAGTTTTCACCCTTGCTATAAACGTCAGGTTTCATTAGAGTGTAATTTTTCTACACATATTTGTCTACCTACTTCGAGACGGAATCTTCCTTAACACACACACACACACACACACACACACACACACACACACACACACACACACACACACACTGGAAGACGCCTTTCTACCAAGACACGTTTATGGAAAAGACTTTTTGTCACTCGCATATTGTTCACTTCAGCTGCAAATATTACCATAAGATCGCAATCCAAAATAATAATTCACAAAGCAAGACTTAAAAACAAGTTTTAAATTTCGCCAACGCAACGTGGTAAAATAGCTTTAGCTCTTTTAGCCGTCATGTATCATCTCACGTTGCCCGGCAGCCTAGTGATTAGAGCGTCAGCCTTTGATGCGGGATCACAGGTTAGAATCCCAGCCGAATCATACCAAAGACTTATAAAAATGGTACTAACAGCTGCCTCGCTTGGCGCTCAGCATTGCGAGGTTAGTGTTAGGACTGGCCGGCCTAGTGTCAGGATAATGTGACTGGGTGGGACATCATGCTACATGTCTGCGGCATGATGCCACAGTGCTAGAAATCACTACAAACTGCCACAGTGCAGACATTGTATCGATATGACTGAAAAATTTTAAAGTTACGTCAGAAATCCAAATCTCTCTCTCTCTCACACACACACACATCACACATCTCTCTCTCTCACATCACACATCTCTCTCTCTCTCATCCAAATCTCTCTCTCACACACACACGTTGCGTTTTCGTACGATGGCCATTAAAATACAAATTAAGATTCACTTTACATACCAAGATCTGAAATAAAGATATAAATGGATTGCCACAAGCAGAGAAAGGAATTTCAATGGCATTCATATTTTGCGATATGGTTTAGGCTCAAACCTTCATTCTTAACCATAGTCAACGCAGGCATATATGTATGCGGTGCCATTCAGAAACATTGAATGTAACCCACTAAACTAATAATAGAAAGGCACAAAACCAATGGAGGATGTTGGCCGAATGCAGAAACATTGACTGTAATACACTTAAACTAATAATGGAAAGACACAAAACCGATGGAGGATGTTGGCCGAATGGTCCAAGTCGCTCGTCTGTACAGCTCACAGACATCTCCTCTCTGCGTGGGTTCGAGTTTCACATTATGCAAGCATGGTTCTGTGAGAAAGCTTGCCAGTATGTTCCCGTGGGTGAGTGGTTTCGGGTTCTTCCTCCACCAGATAAACTGGTCAACATGTATTGCATATCATGCACTGAGAATGGCGTTAACTAAAAATCAATAATATAAAAAAAAACGACGACGAAGACGGAAATGACTCAATCCTAATATAACGACTAATGCCTTAGGTCCCAGGGATAAAACTGTCTCAACTCCGATGTATAAATAGTAAAATGGAATTCCATCTTTTTATTAAACATATTTTTGTGACGGCAGATCAGATTATATGTTGGTTTCATTGGAGTTGACTTACAGGAGTAGATAAAACACAAATTCCGATTTTTCAGAATGAAATCTGACTTCAGGTGAAAGGCCTGAAAACAAACTGGTCACAGTATGCACCGTGTCGTAGCTTCGTATTTCATATCAAGACGGTAAAAGCAAAAGCTTAAGTTCTGGTCTACTACTGTTTAAAAACGGTAGGAATAGTGTAGCACGTTTTGATTCATCCACAAAAATTAATATCTTTGCGTTGGTCATCCAAGTAGGTCTTTTACTAAATGATTAAATTTAAAATGTTAAAATTGAAGCATAATTAAGACAGATCTCTTTATTAATTCACACACATACACACACACACACACTATATATATATATATATATATATATATATATATATATATATATATATATATATATATATTCCAATGAGAAATTCCAGATTCGTGGGAAATTTACGCATGTAACCAATTAGTTATGTTATGTAATCTGTAGAGTTAATTGCTCTGTAGGCAAGGCTCAACTTATTACAATATGCGTTATTTTGGTGATCTGGAAGCAACCTGATCAAAATTTCTATACTTAAATAAATAACGTTTTCGAAGCAGTGCCGTATACTGATGCTGTATTACTTGCCTGATGCACCGTAAAATTTCCAATGCTAACTAAAACGTGTTAAGTTCCAGGTTTGTTTGTTTGTTGTTGAGCTTAACGCCATTTTTCAGCACACGATAGGCTATTCATGGCGGCCAGTATTAATGGTGGAGGAAGAAACCGGGATATCACCGGAAAGAACCACCGACCCACGAGAAGCTACTGGCAAGCTTTCTCACATATCCACATTCGCCGAATCCTAGACTCGAACCCACGCAGTGTAAAGTTCCAGTGAAAACAATCTCTCTCTCTCTCTCTCTCTCTTAAAATATAATGGTCAATTTGTGTGTGTGTGTGCGTGTGTGTTTGTGTGTGTGTGTGTGTGTGTGAGAGAGAGAGAGAGAGAGAGAGAGAGAGAGAGAGAGAGAGAGAGAGAGAGAGAGAGAGAGAGAGAGAGAGAGATTTGGATTTTTAAGGTAGCTATAATAAATTTTCAGTCATATCACTACGATGTCTTCAGTGGGGCAGTTTATAGTGATGTCTAGCACTGGGGGGCATTCATGCCGCAGACATGTAACATGATGTCACACCCAGTCACATCATCCTGACACCAGGCCAATCAGTCCTAATAATGACATGTAGCATAATGTCCCACCCAGTCACATCATCCTGACACCAGGCCAACCAGTCCTAACACTGACCTCTTGATACAGAGCGCCAGGCGAGGCAGCTGTTGGTACCATTTTTTAAGTATCTGGTATGATTCGGCCGAGGATCGAACCCACGACTTCCCGAATTCGATCAGAAGCTCTAACCACTAGGTCACCGGATATGAGAAAATGATACGGTTTAGAGGCTAATTATAATTCTGTGTGTACGAACAAATGGGCAGACTCGATACGCCTGTTTTATATCTACTTATCAGCAGTCAGCACTCAGTTCGTTACTAACATTCTAAACAAGGCAGGATACAGAACTACAAATTATTCGAAGTTTCTGCCAGACAAAAATATTATATATATATATATATATATATATATATATATATATATATATATATATATATATATATATATATATATATATATATATATATATATATCGTTGCAATAATTTAAAGAAAAATCGTTTTGTAAGCTTGAAATTGCAAATGAGCAAAATACTTATATGCATTCGCAACTTCTCGGTCAATACTTGTTTCGTAAATAACAGGTAGACTGACGTACATTCAAGGTATGAACCTCGAAATTGCGAACGTGATAGTTTCATTCCATAGAGTACGGTGGGTTTACCGTAATAGCCTCGTGCAGTAAGGATACTAACTGTTGCGATATTCGAAATAATATAATTGAATTGCCAATATTGCCAAATTTAACGTTATGTCACATATTTGATACGCCAAGCGAGTTATAACCGCTATAAGAAATATATGTTTGTCGAAATAAAATTAATATTCTTGCTGCATTGACAATGACGAATGTGCACTAGTGTTGCCAAACGAATGAGGAAGAAAATTCCATTTCATTCCGTAATAAACTGATGTCATTTTAATCGTATGCAAAATCTCTCTCTCTCTCTCTCTCTCTCTCTCTCTCTCTCTCTCTCTCTCTCTCTCTCTCTCTCTCTCTCTCTCTCTCTCTCTCTCTCTCTCTCTCTCTCTCTCTCTCTCTCTCTCTCTCTCTCTCTCTCTCTCTCTCTCTCTCTCTCTCTCTCTCTCTCTCTCTCTCTCTCTCTCTCTCTCTCTCTCTCTCTCTCTCTCTCTCTCTCTCTCTCTCTCTCTCTCTCTCTCTCTCATTTACATTAAGTTTTCCACACACGTACATCAATTCGTTGAGAATAATATTGCAACCATCGCTTCAGAACGCATACTTTATTAACATTGATACCAAAAACAAAGAAATTTCTGATTTTTTAAATACTGGTCTATTAATAGTATGAGCACCCATAAACGTTAATATAAAAAAAAATGTAAGATAATCTCAATGCTCTGAACGCCATCCAAATACCTGCATTGTTAGTATGCAATAATTTGTTGTTACAAGTAATGTTTTGCGAAATAAAACGCATAACGCATTTCTCTTTGTTAGACTAAAGACAGAAGACGTAGAATTAAGCGAATAACACTTCTATTTATCGAAAGATATTCTGAAGAAATGGTGAAAACTGTATTCACTAAAACTTCAAATGCGAGTCTGCTTACTAATTTCAGTAATCATAGCCGATAATGCTTAATGCGGAAAAAACAATAGTAACGATGCTGATCTCGCCGATAACGATGTTTTTATGTGTTAAGTGATAAATATAAATGGCGAACTTCATTAAATGTCACTGTGTGTGTGTGTGTGTGTGTGTTATTTAGATTTTCAGCGTAGATCTAATAATTTTTCAGTCATATCGCTACAATGCAGGCAGTGTGGCAGTTTATGATTATGTAAAACACTGGCATCATGCCGCAGACATGTACCGTCATGCCCCACCCAGTTACATTATCCTGACACCAGGCAGAACCTCTTAATGCTGAGCGCCTTGAGAGGCAGTTGCAATATCATTCTTATGTCTTTAGTATGACTTGGCTGGGGTTCTAGCCAGCGACCTTCCGCATCCGAGGCGGACGCTCTAGCCATTAGGCCATCGGAGCGCAGATAGTGAGCTTAAATGATGCTGTGAAAATGGTTTGTGCATTGTATATTGTTGAATTTAAGATGTAAGATAAGATGAAAACTAGGAAGATTTTAATGGTCGTATGTTAATACACCAAACTTTTCATGTCACTGTGAGATAACTTTGTAAAAGTGGAACAAAAATATATGTATCTTTGTATCTATGTATGAAGTTGCATACAATGTAATATGTGAAATGGAAATTGTTTCGTACAAATTTAAGCAAACTGTATATATTGGTTGACAAAAATAATATGTTTGTAAAAACGAAATGTTATTGTAAACATACCATATCACTACCCTCAATACGGAACCATGTTCATGAATTGCAGAGTTGATTCATAGACAATGGTAGTGCACGCATGAATTCATGAAATCTACTTTTTGATACTCAAAAACCGACTCGTGGTGACTATCATTATTATGACCTGTAATAACTATCTGTATAAAACAAAAATATTTCAGTCAATAACTGTGACTATCATTGCATTAAAAATGTATTAAACTGACTCACCGTAAGCACTTGTACATAATCACAAACCTGGATACGCATTGGGTATAGTTAAAGACCTTTTATCGTAAAATGTTTAACAGAGTATTTGTACATTTATCCTTATAAAACAGCTCTTTTGTGTTTTGAATGGTGTTCGAAAGGTTAAAACAATAGGTCTGAACAAGAATTTGTACGTGCTTAAGTGTTCAAGCACTTGAATGCTCCCATCTGAACATTATATTTACATTAATGAACTTCGGTGCAAGTGTAAATCTAGAAAAGGCACAAAGGAAACACACATACAACAAAGAGTTAAAAAAGCAATGCATTCTTGTTTTAACTATAGTAGGGTAGAGAGTGATATGCCTGCGAGATCAACTGTCAAAACATCAACGGGCCATTCTGTACCATTGTCGCCAAGTGCCTCCGCTGTCTGGAGATTCAATATACAAATCGGTATATTATCTCTATTCCGGCCAGTTTGGATGACACAACTGTTTGTTAATTGTGCGTTTCATTTGGATTTTTAACGTAGCGTTATCAAGTTTTCAGTCATATCACTACGATGTCTGCAGTATGGTAGTTTGTATTTATGTCTAGCAATGCGGCATCACAAGTTTTTAGTATGACTCGGCCGCAAATCGAACGTTCGAACTCGTGACCTCCCGCATTCGAGGCGGACGCTCTGACCACTAGGGCACAGGAGTGTTCGACTGTATGTTAAGAGTAGCATAATAGTTCTAAACAATTGGCCTCATTACTTTGTTTGGTTTCATGACTTGTTAAAGTCAATCTAATAGGTGCTTTGATCGGAACTGAAACTGTCAAATTATTCGTAAAAATGTGTTAACGTTTTTGTGCACAACATAAAATTGCCTTCACCTATTTGAGCAACTACGCTGTCGAATTTTCAGTTTTGGTAGTGTGTAATATTTCATGTTGTCAAAGTTCTTCAATTTTGGACACAAGTAAATCTTGGAAACAGCCATATCTAGCACGAAATTCAAAATGGCCACAGGACAGATGGTTGTGCTATTCCATGTGGATTTACAAGTCACCAAACATATGATATGCTCAGGAAATATAATGTACATGTCACCAAAAGAACCCTTTAGCCGACGGTAGCTCCGCAGTCACGAGATATGTATAAAATGTACACCAATGTGTGCGGCTAGAATTCGCTGCAGATAATTGCAACTTTTAATGAATAGGTTTCGTGGCTACACTCGGCTGTTTCCATATACTGGTATCTAAAATGTATACACAGTCCAGATGGACAACATCACAACCAGATTCACTACATCTTGGTGGAAAAAAAAACGATTCTGCACAGGAATGCGTATTGACAGGATACAAAGTTTTTCAGGAGCAGATATTGGAAGTGACCATGATTTATTAATAACTGTTTCGCAACCACATGAAAATGATCAAAAAAGTCAAACCAAAGAAGAATCAGAATTGACCTTGAAAAATTGAAAGATGCGAAAGCCGCAAAAACCTTCTAGGCAATGATAGGTGGTAAATTTGCACTTTTAATAACCCTGGACAGCCAAGAAACCGACATTGAGTCCTTAACAACCACATTCAACATAGCTGTGACTAGTACAGCTAGCGAGATCATTGGCAAATATTGTTGAACAAAGAAACATTGGATCACATCAGATGTCCTTGAATTAAGCGAGAAAAGAAGAGAACTGTAAAAGGGAAAAAGAGATCATAAGGGAATTACAAAATACAGAGAAAAACAACATGATCTGGAAAAGCATGAAAAAGGCAACGGAATCCAGGATAGAACGACAGTGTTGAAAAATCGAAGAAAGTCTGAGTAAAAATTACAGCAAACTGTCATATCAACTAGTGAAAGATCTCACAACCCATAAACAAGGGAAAACTTCACTATCCAAAACAAATCAGGCAAATGCCTCACAGAAGATCAAGAGATCCTCAAGCGATGGACAGAATACTGTTCAGAACTGTACAATCATAAGACCCAAAGAGATCAGAAAAGATCTCTTTCGTCAAGGTTGGCTGTGTTTTTTCTGTGAAAACTGCCCAAATTTCACAACGTATCGAAAGGTCAATTTGTGATTATAAACTCCTTACTGTTGTTTGATAATTACAAAGATTTTCGTGGTCAAAGAAAGGACGTACAAAAAGGCAAGTGTTACGAACAACTCAAGACATCGCCATATATCTGTGTTTAAACTGCCATCTGCGAACAAGCTGAGGCTTACATCTTTCAGAGTCAGTAGAGACTGCTTCAATAAGACTTCCTAGTGAATGATATTAAAAGTGACTATCAGGTAATTTTAGATCAATAATCACATTCATGAGTCAAAATATATTTACATCCCGTTTCATTAATTAGATGTAGCTTTAATATAATCCTCTATCTTTATATGACAATAATTTCTGCAATGTTAGATTTTATGCGTCGATTTTGTTAATAACAGTGAAATTTATAATGGAACAGTCACACCGTCGTAGAAACTTTATACTGGTTATTGAAAAATCAATAAATAACTGTCTTTCAGTCCAGTAATACAACTTTACTTAAGACTTTCAAAAACTAGACGACACTTAAAATGTAAATCCACAAATAAACAAATGGCTAATGATGCAACTACACAAGACTTGTGTATGAGCTTGAATTTATAACCGGGTATACGGACAAGAGTAACGACCAAAGTATATTTTTACCTAGCTAATTAATTCGTTCAGGCAGCGCTCACATGTAGACCTATTCGGTTCCTGGTCGTTTCTGTAACAAGCAGGTTGTCACAGATCGATAAGTAGTGACTAGCGGTACTGAACTACAGGAGAACAACATGCTATTTTGACTGGTAACCAAGCAACTAGTCTGGATCTGCATGACATGATTAAGGATGAGCGTGTTTACATCTGCAGAGAATTATCTTCCTGACACAAAAACTCTTGGATCGGTTTCGTAAACAATTCGTTCGTGAAAACGTAATGAGACTAAGTTAATGAGAAAAACCTGTAAACAAAGTAAGAAAATTTCAGATCATACACCACAAGTGACGGTACTTCCCAGTCATTAAGATTGTAATATATACGTCTATGTAATTATTGTTGCACAGCTGGAGGCTTTTACTAATTCTCCCATCAAAAGAGTTGTGTCGAAAATCCAAAATCGAGATTTTAAACGAAATTCTTCTTAAAAGGATGTACTGGAGTTTTTCATAGACTACGTCAGTGCTGTCCAACATTTTTGACACCATGGGGCACTGAAAATGTTTTCTTGAAGCCGAGGGCCACAGAATGAAATGAAAACAGGCCACTAACTTTAATTTATATAAATGCACAAAAAAAAGGCTCGAGTTCTGGCAAGCCATTTAAATTCATCAAGCGGGCTGCATGTTTGACAGCACAGGCCTACGTGAGTGAACTTGTGTTATTTATCTGCTGGTAGAAGATCTTCAACTGATCAAGAGCCTGTGGCAAGTGACACATGATCTTTCGAGGAACTGAAAGATTTTAAGATTTCCATTTTTGTTCAGCCCAGCTCGTAATGATGCGATCCTTACACGATAAAATCGCTATGACGCCACTGAATATATAAGCTTAATTTCGCGCTGTGAACTCTGGAAGAGATTGAAAGCAAAATGACGCGGTTGCGAATTTTATCTCTTATTAAATGATACAAAATAAAAATGAAAACATAATTATAGTTATGTTGAAGAAAATTACAAAATAAAAGAAAAGTATAAATGACTTCGGGAAATCTTTTCAAGAGTTATTACCTGTCGTAAATTGGACAAAGGCTTATCTTAAAGGAAAATCAATGTTACGTCAATGACTGACATATATCAAAAATTAAAACACCAAAATATATTTTTCAAAAAGTATCTGGAAAAACTAGTTATAAACTTTAGTCTGTACAAAAATAATAACATTTTTAAAAAAGTAATTCAGCTACTATCAAGGGACCAGTAGTAAATGGGCATGTTTCCCAATACCTGGGATCTTACTATCCTTTGCGAGTAGATAATCAACTAAAGAGTAGCACAAAAAAATGCAAACCAACCGATACATTTTGTAGCGATTTTGGATTCCTATGAATCTTATCTATATAGAAATATTATTTTTTTTAAAAAAAAATGCTACAACAGTTCACAAGCGATCATCCTTAATTTGCTAATTAATCCATCCATTAATTTAAGCAAGCTTTATATAATGTTTAGGCACGCACGCGTCGGTACAAATGAATCAAAATACATCGTTGTTTTTTATGATTATTTATTTCGGGCTCATGTGGCGAGATAAATGCACCGAAGAGCCTGTCAATATGGCAAAAAGAGATAAGGCCCCAAATTTCAAGTTGTTTCTCCCGAGCTATTTGATTGTATAAAGCTTCAAATACAATTAACGGCGCAGCAATTTAGGCTTCTGGTGCTTTTCCGCCGCAATATCCCGGAAAATTGGTCTAGTTGTTTCGTGAATGTCTGGGTCACTACGTTCTGGTTCATATTAAACGCCAAACCATTATCATTAATATTTTCGAAAATGATTTACCGACTTTAAACAATTTAGTTCTGAAAGAAAAGAAAAATATTGTTACAAAACATGAAAGTTTATAACGCTAAATGTACTTTGATTCGGAGTCAAGCATATAGTGTGCATTTTGTACAGAATCCTTTAAAGCACTACTGACGATGAGAGATCCTCTGCAGATAGCAAAAGCAGTTAGAAGCCTCATTATACTCCGTTTTGTTAAGAATCGTTAATCTATTTCAATTTAGTGAGGCGAAAACCATCGCCTTTGTCATCGCTGATGCGATGAAGATGCCAACTAGCTCGAACAGGTCTTCAAACGACGATTCGAAGACGACACTTTTAAAACATCGTTTCTCTATTCTCAACATTTATATAATTTAAAAGAGTAATTATTTGTAAATAATAATAACAACTTAGACATGCATGTTCTCTGCAGGTTCGGTCTATACCTGCGGCGTGCATTTTATTTCTCTTGTACATTAAGAAATTATATAGAGTATAACTAAATGTGTCAGAAATCGAGTTATCTTCTAGCAAAAGAGCGACGGATGAAACGGACAAACATTTTAATACAAAATAGGAAGAACTATTAAAATGCAATTCAGTTAAAATAAGAGAGAAATATACTGACTTCAGTACACCTCCAACCAGGCTTAGTTGGCAAGGGGTGTAAACAAACTAGCACATCTATTATAAGCGATATATAGAAAAGTTGTCACCGCTAAAAATACAAGGCGCTATTTATGTACGTTGGTTCCTAAAGAAGCAGGTTTTCACACACTCTAAAATTAAAATGTCAAGAAGACAATATATTCTGATATGTTTTTGACAAGTCTGCGCCAAATTATGAAAAATTGTGAAAAGGTAAAATTACTGATTTGAAAGGACGCACTGTGCAATTTTGTAAGTGTATGGTGGGGTTTCTGTTTGTATCTACGCAAAACAAGGTAGGAAAAGCGATAAGAAAGACAAAGAGTATTACATAAATTACAGATCACAGAGGCCGATACAGCAGAAGAAAAGAAAGATATGAAGAGGCTACATGATATGACGCATATACTTTTAGGGAAAAGAAGGAACACATCTCGGATCGACAAAGATAAAAGTAAAATACTCAGCAAAGAGAAGGAACTGAGACGACGATGGACTGATCATTTCAAAGTAATATTCAACATGCCACTTCCAATAGAACTGGA